ATTAATTATATAAGTGTGGTGTCGTGAACCACTATTGCTCAGCAAACGGTCAGTTGTTCAACGCGTTCAAAGGACAAACGACAGCGAAAAAGAGCAGCGCTCTGGATGACTGAAAACCAGAGATGACTGCACAGATGTCCTTCAATAAGCAGTGACTGAGGAGTAAATGTACGACGATGCAGAAAGGAACACTCAAGAATCGTAAACATGAGTAAAAAAGGTTGTGATTCACTGAATTACTGCGCTGGGGCTGCAGCTGTTTCTAACACAGCCAACTTGTTGTAATCAAACTTAAGTGTTAAGGAGCTAATTGCTTAATGAATAGCTAATCACTATTTTAATTAAATTAGTTTATTAATTTATATTAGGATAAGGAGCATAGAACTTTACTTATGCTAAGAAGTCGTGTGTAGGCCTTAGCAAAAGCCAGGGCTAGTGCAGGCTACAAATTTGGCAGGGAATGTCTTGTACTCCTAAAGATCTTACCGCACCTGTGCTTTGGTTTTATCGCATCTGTACTTTGGTTTTATTGCATCTGTGCTTTGGTCTCACTGCACCTGTGCTTTAATAACAACACCAGCATATTTTATATAGACATTAGGTTCATTTCAGGCAGGCATGCCTCCCTACCTCCCTACTCCCCCATTTTTGTTTCGTGGTTAAAAGTGGTCTCACCCCAATTGCCAACGATTGTGTGGAAATAAGATATATGAATATTAATAAGGGTTGAACCAATCATTATGAAGGTTAAAATTAATAGCGGACAGTGTTTATGCTAAAATATTATAACTTTGTAAAAGAGTGTATAAATAGATTGAATTTTCGTAAGGTATTCGAAGCATTGGATGATTTCCAAGCTTCCCAGCGCTGCAATAAGGAAGTGCTGGCTTATCTACGTGTAGATAAGTTCTGTCGTTTTTGCGACCTTCCCTTTGAATATCGCAACAAACTGACACCCCCTAATGTGACCTGGGGAAAAAAAGAACAAAAACTTCTGTTTCAGCCAGATCAACCCCTCAGTCTGCTTCACCACCGATTCACAGCAAACTGGAGTGATGAGCACATAAGCAAGAAGCAGCACGTGGAAACACAGGCTGCTTAAACAGTGCTTCTATCGAGCGCATAAAGATGATCTAAAATTACACAGACGTGTATATCTTAGGCACTCACACACTGAACACAGGGCAGGGCCGTGTATCGCAGAAAAACATCTCCCCGCGGAAAATTAAACACCAACAGCAAGGAACGGCAAAGAAAACCCAGTGACTGAAGAATCTCACACCACCGCAGGCACTGCACTAGGAGGGAACCCTTTAGCTGTGTAACAGCAACATCTAACAGGTAAGAAATTAACTGAAAAATACTATTACGTTAAGCTGGTTTTGCAGGTGGAAATTTAGCAAAAGACGTTGTAACTTTCACACCTGACACAGCAAACAGCGTTTTTTAAAGCTCTGTGAGAGTCCTCATCTGTGTAGTTCACTTTCACCTTATTCACAGTCAGAAACTATGTCCAAATTCTTAGCCCTGCTCCTGTACATCACTCACATTATTAAAAAACAAAATCCATGATTCATTGCTACAACAGTCTGTAAGATGTTGGGAGCTTGCACTGACATTTTTTATATGAACATTTCTAAACAACGCCTCAGCAGGCCCTTGCTGAACGTGCTCCCAAAACAGGTATGTTATGCAACGAGCTTTAATTTATTTTATGTATTAAATGTATTTTTTAAAATGTACTATATATTTTCATGCCATATTCACTTGACAAACTGACATTCCAAAAAACTGAACTGGCTATGCACAAACAAAGCATTAAAGCAGCAGGAGCACAGCCACCTCCTCTCACATTAGCCTGACAGATACGGCTTCTCCACACCGTTTCCATTAGCTACAGAACCAGTATTTTGCAAATAACTGAGTGCTGTCCTCTGCCCATTGCAAGGGTTTTCTGCATGGTTTGTGCATGATCTGGATTGAACACATTTACAGGTAAAACCATTTTAATTTCCGAATGAGCCATTTCTCTGTTCCAAGCTTAGGGCCCCATATTGTTGTGGATTTTTTTTTAAATATTGGTTTGCAGCAAACCTTTTGTACACATTCTAGCTTCTAATTACACAGACCCTAAAGAAATTGTTACTTAACGTACATCTGTCACTTTCTTAACGAACTTAACCTTCCCTTTCTCCATTTCGCATCCCATAAACCCTCTTCACTCTACATCCACATTTTGGCAACCTGCTAGTAACCGACTTTAAAAGAAAGTCATTGGCACCTGTGCAAAAAAATAAGGGAAACTGGGGGGGAAACAGTGACACAAATTATGAAGAACAGTGACAAAGCAAATGGAAAGAAAGAGGGAGGGAAGAGCAATGGTATAAAAACCATGAACAAACTTCATCTCATTTTTAGTCCTGACCCTCACTGCAATTGCTATAAAAAAGAAAATAAATAAGAAAACTAAAGTTACCTGTTCTAAACTTACCTTGGCACCGTACTTTGAATAATTCATTTCTGTAAGCGTTACCGGCCGCAGTTTGTCAATATCTCCAAATGCCACTCCTGGAACATAGAGGGCACAAACAATATGGACCCACCTAGAACAGCAGATAAAATCAGGTTACTGTGATCAACCCTGTGATCCTCTGTTATACCCACCCCTTGCACATTTCCAGGTGGGCACTTGGATACAAAGCTAAGGCAGGCAGAGACTTTCAGGACGGGCTAAGAGGTGGGTGAATAAAATGACACAGGTAGTCCCAGCAAGGCTGGGCTCCAGACATAGAGCTGTGACACACCCACAGCACAGCATCAGCACAAAGTCACCCTGCTGGCATCACCAAAACTAACGAGTTCTAGGCCACAGGGCTAGGAACTACACTCAGGTGTAAATACACCTGAGCCACGTTATGGAAATGACTGTCTGCAAGTCAGGTGAACAGGCTGTTCCGTAGCTGTACTCTCTTCTTCACCCTCCCCAAACAAACTGAAGGGTAACGGGTCTCAACCTTCAGCCCTGAGGGGCACAAAAGGAGACGGCACGTATCCAGACCTCAGCATTTAACAATTAAATACAACGCAAGGGTAAAGGCTTCAGCCCTAAGTCTTCCTTTGACAGACACCTCCCCCACCTCCTGAAACTCTCAGTTACCAAAAGACACATTTTCTTATTCTTTCTTTCACACTTGGTGAAAGATCCAACTCTCCTTGTCACAACCCATCAGCTAGGGACAAACTCAAAAATCTGTTTCCACACAACACGCATGACTCAAGTGAACTCAAACTACTCCAAACCCCAAAGTGTTCCTCCCCAAAATAAACTTTTCCGTTTCATCAAAGTTCGAGAAACTATTCTCTACTCCCTGCTGAGTCCCTCAGTGGGAACAGAGGCAGAAGGTCAAGATTGCTACGTTCTGTTATCTTAATATATTCAAGAAAACAGCCACACAACTGCACAGGCGTGTGGCTACCGCTATGAACCTACAAGCTCCCAGATGACCCTGGATACAACCAGAGACTTCAGACATAACTGAGCCGAAATATCCTGTGTTTGACCCTTGGCAAGTACATGAATCCAGCACTTCGCGATCTTCCCGGCCATTAATGTTTAACAGTAAATATATCACTAGTAGAAACTAAAACTCCTAACAGAATCCTAGAATCTCTTCCCTGTATTCCAGAGGACTAATGACGAGGCCAGAAATATTTCTTTCCTTGGCTCTCTCACTGCCCACATACTGCAATTTTCCAAGCTCCTTCAATACCAGGGGTTCAGCACAGACCTGCTAACACCCACTTCAAGCTGCACCCAGGCTTTTTCCAGTTTGGCCTCTCTCTTCTGCTTCTCTTTGTTTTGTGTGGATATTAAAAAAATTCAATTGAGACCAAAGCAATAAGATTCTGGTTTTAGCTGCAATTAAACAGCATGTTTATTAACCTTTTTTTAAGCGCCTGTCTACAGGTAAGAGAAATACTGAAGCTAATGGTTAAATTACTCAGGAGCTACACGTAACCCTGATTTCCCCTATTTCCCAACTTACTGTGTTTCTCATCAGTGGTCCTTAGAGCTATAATGCTGAAATTTATCACATTCAGAATTATATTATAAGATTGCTACGTCCAAACACAAATTCAAAAAATTCAAGATATGAAATTTAAAAATACACAAACATTTAAGTCTTTCCACAAGAAAACACTGATTTTGCAATGTACAAAATTGGTGGAAAGACCAACAGCACCTTCCGAAAAAACAGTTCATGATAGTAACTGGGTTAACAGAAAAATCCTAGTAACAGTAAAAAATTGGTTTGAGATGCTAAGTGGTAAACTCCCTTTAAAATGTGGAAGCTTAAAATAATGAGACTAACGTATATCCCACATACATATTAATTGCTTTGTCTTTACAGACTTTACTAGGGTTCCCCACATCCACAAAACGGTTTGGTCACAGCACTGTAACTACCAGGAGACTCAAAGGAAAATTAAAGCTGAATTCCAACCTTGTCTTTACGTAACATCGTACCAATACGACCGCGCGCCAGCTTCCAGGGAACAAATCTCAAGCGTGCTGCCAAGTTTCTTGCTGCCCAGGTTAGGAGTAAAGCTCATCGCTCTTTTTATAAGCGCTCCAGCAGGCCAGCGCAACCCCCTAACTTAATACCATGTTATATGCAAAAAACAAGACTCTTCTCACTAGTATATTGTGAGAGCATCTTCCGTCTGCCTCCCCACAAAAGCAATGGACGCACAGGACGCTCCTGCAGGGGAGCAACGGAGCACCTGGTTCCATCTCTGCCCTCCCACGCTGTTGCCAGAATCGGCAAGAGTTGCGCCTAAATCGCTCCCAAACCTTTACGAAATATTCTTCTACAAAAAATAAACAAAAAATCTACATGTGCGTGCATCGATGTTCATTCTGGTAAATACTAATGTGCGTGCATCAGTGTTTATTTTGGTAAATACTATGCATTTACTGAAATAAATACGTAAATGAGCATGTTCTACTTGCTTTCAAAAGGAATTAAAAAATTGTTTTGTTTAAAAAGCAAAATACCACAGTATTTTGTCGGGCCTGTAACCTTCAAATAAAGAGACTGCTTGTTTATAAACAGAAACCATCTGAATGCTGCAGGGCAACTTTTCTATACTCTTCCATTGATTTCAGACATGTTATATAGAAGAAACTTGTACAAGCAGACGTTGCACATCTCCACAATTACTATTTTTAACAAAAATCCAAGGTTCTGGATGGCGATTTTTGACAGGAAGTTTTAATGCAGCCTCCTAGTAGTACCCTCCAAAGCTCAGTGCACATACACATCTTCTCCAAGCAGCTGCTTCTCAATTTAATTTGCACCGTTTTTTCATGCTCCGCTGGTGTATTAACTGCTGCCGCACTCTGTCGGAGTTTTCTCTCTGATAAACCCAACAGCTGGCTGCTTGCTTCACCCTGACCTTCTCCAAACGTTCCAGTACCTGTCACCCAAGTATTACAGAATTCCAGATTTAAACTGCCACGTCAGTGTGACTGGCACACCAGCGCCTCATTTCTTTAACGACCTACATGCGTACTCAAATCTGAATTTTCATTAAAAAAAACACACAAGTCAGTCAAGTTCAAGCTGAAGCAATTCCAGCTGCTTTTAATACCGGTTCTAAATATTTTCCTGCTCATTTGTTTAGCTGCACATGTTTTAGAAGCTTGTAATTAAGACAAATTGGGTAATCAAAGGAGAATAATCTTCCTTGTTACTTCACCATCCATTTAGCTTGGGGCAATGATGACAGATGTTGATTAGGGAAGAAGAAAAACTCCACAGTGAAACCAAGACGGAATTCGCATTCTTGGGTGACAGCATTCCGAGAAATAAAATTTCATAAATTCCCATTTGCGCTTGTGGTACCGAGAGGTCAATGTGAAAAGAGAAATTAAGCACCTCATTATTCTAATGATTCACCTTTCAGATCGAACAGAGAAATTATTCCAACTTGATTATAAAGTGAATGAGAACAAGTTTGGTTTGTACAATTTCCAGCAGTGATCCACACGGAAATTTTATTTTTAAAAGGCAGTAAGAAGATGGAGAGCGCTGGTGAGTTAAGGATTGTGTTATTCAATAGTCTGTCTCTCTGCTCATATTTCAATAAAAGAACTGAACTGGGCTGTAGTTTACCAGGCGAAAAAAAAAATGAAAACATAATGGACATTGCCCGCCTCAAGACCCAATCCTTACCCTGCAGGGCCCCATTACTTGGGAGAGTTCCGATTCGTAAATAAATGAGAGAGAGAACACAGACATTTTCACGCTGTAGGTAGGTAGTTGTTTTTTCTAGTACATAAGCTCTCTTCACTGGGGAGGATAAACATAATTATTCATGATAACCTTCTCACATTATCTAGCAGGCAAAAATACAACAGTAACAATAATAAATTACTGTGTTAAAGCCCACCGTCACCGAAGCAGGCCTGTGCAGAAAAAACCACTTCCACATTAACCAGAAGCATACCACCGTTTCACAAGAATAAATTCAAGCGATTTTCAAAATGCTGACTGTAGTTCCTATGACAGTTATGTGGGAAATTCCATATACAGTGCTTAAACTGCCTTGCAGAACACCGGCATGAAGAAGTTGAGATAAAATTTGCTGGGTGACATCGATTTGCCCATTTAGTAACTGTTAGACAATCAACTTCAGTCTTCAAAACCATTTTTTTGCCACATAGCAGCACTTTTATTAAAATAGAAAACAGTACTCAAATGTACTATTGATTTTTTGTATGTGTAACAGCTTTAAGAGACACACAGACACTGTTGAACCTAAGACAGACCAGAAAGTGAGGATCTGAACCCCAAAAGCATTTACAAAGAAGCACAGCTGCTTCTATTGGGTTAAAATTATTCACTACAAATCCTCCCTCGCTTGTGTAACTTTTTTTTTTTTAAATAGCACAGTATTTTCTTCTACTTGCATTCTTTTCCCTGTATAAGATGCATGTGGAAGACATGAGGGAGGAAAAGTTTTCTTTTACATGCTGTATGTGTATCTTTACAATGCATCTCAGTCACAAATTGCAAAGCTGAGCTCAACAAACACTCAGAGGAGAAAGACAGACGCCTCCATGGGTTATTGCTAGCATTTGCATCCAGCAGTCAGTGTTACCCTCAGAATCTCTTTATTCCCAACACAAACTCCAATTGGATTAGCAATCAGGAAAAAAAATGCTATAGGAGAAATGCAAAGGCATGTACAATTTAATCCACAAAACCTAGATCAACTTCTGACATTTTAATATTGTATTTACTTTTCTGAAGGTAAACAAAACAGTATGTCAACAAATATAAATATATACCCGAAAGTCATTAGATGTGAGCAGAATTTGTGCAAGGGTGCAGTGCCGTTATCTTGCACAAAGCAGATTGCTACAGAAAGGGTAAAGTCTATTTTTCCTTCCACTGAAACAGAGCACGTTCTTTGATTTTCCCAATGGCCCCATCCTTCTCCCAATCCAAAATGACAATAATTCTGGAAGGTGTTTGGCCTCTCTGCTGCAGACTTCATCATTCTGGTTTTGTAGCATCATTAACTAAAGAGCACTTTGGAGTTTTGCTACTCTTCAGGATTAACCACGAAAGTAGCACAACACTAGCAAAGGCGTAAAATGCAGCTTTCTGGCAGCTAATGAAATCCAACCAGCAGAACACACGCTTAAATTCTAGTCAGCGACAGCACACGCCAAACACTACAAGCTCAGTCACCACCAGAGAACCACTGTGATGAGCCACACGTTACCATTCAGCAGTGAGGCTCAAGGGCCTCAAACCCTGTTTTTCTTACTCCAACCTCCAAGCCTGAGCAAATCCAGACCAACTACACAATTTTTCTCTATGTTTCTGACCCACAGTCCCTGCTGTCAATAGTTCAACCCATTGGTGAAGTGAGAGAAAGTCTCACAAGCCATTATCTTTGACAATGTCTGATACCAAGTAAGAGTTTATGGGATATTTTTAAAGACTCCCGTGACCTTCACTAGCATCTTTTTTTTGGTTAAAAAAGATGCATCACACGATCAGTTCAAAAGAACACAGAAAAGTCTTCTAGTACACCCAGTAACACATCTATAAACACCTAACAACACATGTTGACTTCATACTGAAGGATTTATCAGTCTCTATGATGATCTGCTTCACATAGGTCCATCTTTTGCTCCTAAATCTTCATGCTCTAGTTTACCTTAAGGTAACGATCTTCTTAACGTTATAATGGGCACGAAGAGTATTATGAGGACAAAAAATCAGGCGACCAACTATCCAAAGAGTACCCAACTCAACAGAGAGGTGCAAGACAGAGGATATCAACAGCAAAGTTTAATTTATGACACTGTCTCCTATAGGAACAGATATGGCCAAAACTCAAATCTTTTAAATTTAAAATGAGATCCAATTCAAAATACCATTTCTTCAGCCTTACCTGCCTGCATCAGTCTCCTTGAAGATGCCATCCTGGTTAGGGCACAGTTCACAACTAGGTGTGACCCCACATTTACAGGCGTCACAAAACCAAGGTTCTGTGGAATTTTCTGAAGCTGAGCTCATGATAGAGTCACTCTCTCCATCAACACCGTAGCAACCTAAACACATGAGAAACAGAAGACCAATATAAGAAAAGATAATTGCAGAGCTGGATGAAACACGCACACGTATACATTCAGAGGAATGATACTGAGAGTCCCCAGAACACTTACAGTATTTTTGCAAATATTATCATTAGTGTAAAATTTATATTTAAAACAGTGAATCTGAGAGAAGTGATCTGTTTTATGTGACTGTCTTGGATTACAACTGAAAAACAAGAAGAAAAAGGCCGGTTTACATTATTCTTTCAGCAACACTTAGTGTTCTTCCAGAATACCCAGTCAGAAAAAAACCAAGACTTAAAGCAAGCAGCGAAGACTGAGAAGAGTTCAAAGCATTTTTTCAAATAAGGAAATATATATCAAGTTAAATGCAACAAGCTAAGAAATTTGTGAGCATCTACCTGCACATTTCTTCTGACTAGTCCTATCTTTCTCCTGAAAATGAACTTTACTTTGGGGTGTTTTTTTGGGGCTGTGGTTTTCTTTTTAAGAGGCTGCTTATGCCAGTAGCATTATACCACCTTTCCATTTTGCATGCAGCATCCAAATCAGCTACAAGAGAATATACACGTAAATAAAAGCCAGTATCTGCATACTTTAGGCGTTGTAGGACTGAGTTTAAAAGACCTTCAAAACCAAAGTACAGTTTGCAGAGCATACACTGGCAGTTCTGAAACACCACATTGGTGACTGAGGGAGTATATTAACTTTTTTTTAAAATATTCCCATATTTACCTGTTTTAAACTGTGGCTAAACTCAATCACTCCCATTTCTCCATTCTCATTTGGTATATCCACTGTATTCTTTATGACTTAAGATGTTTGCATCCTTAATCACCACACATTTAGGAAAATAGCATTTAGCTTATTTAGATTTTGCACAGGAGTAGTATTACTACTACTGCAAATGACAAAAAGGAAAATTCTGACGCTTGTCCCCACAAAACTCTATTTCTACATTTGCCACAGTTTGAACATTTATCTGTTACTCGAGAAAAATATGATTTCATTGTCAACACTTAAAACACAGTGGAGACTTTATTAAAAGATTAAATTTGGCTATTTGTCAAAACCAGCAATCAAGTCAACATTTGTGCTTGCAGAACAGTTAAATTATTGAAAACTGCTATTAAATAGCAACACGATTTGTTACTTTGGTTCATTACCCACTGACTGCAATAAAGCAGTAACAGTGCTGTAACTCCCCTTATGACAGAAAGAGAGAGCTGCATAATAAACTGAAACCACATTCAGAAAATAAGCAATGACACTGGAGGAACCATTTAAGAAATAAAGTCTTCCATTACAGAATGAGGCTCATCAATAAGAATTAAAGTAAGAAGCCAGAATGTTTATTTTCATTATAAAAGTATTCCAGAATCAAAGACAAGGAATGTGCAGAAGCACATTCACAGACAAGTTTCATTAGACATATAAAAGACCATACAGCTCACACATGAGGTAACTCCATTCGCTTTATAATACCGGATTAGCTTGAAGTTGTATTCCTGAAAGTCATTTTTTAGGTTCTAATAACACAGTCTTGAATATCTGCCAGTAAAGCTGTTATATTAATGTACAAACACACGGCCCATTGATATCACGGAGCTGATGAATAAGCTTTCTATGATTCCTCCAGACTTAAATCTATTTTCCTAAATGTACTTATTAAACATTACCTAACACTATAGCAGCAGTAACAGTCATCAAGCCCTATGGCAAAACGAAATCAGTTTCTTTCAAACAATGACGCTTCGTCACCCGCTCAAAGTAATTAGATTTGCTCTCCTAACCTAAGTGCCACGGGTCTGCTAAAAATAAAATGACTTCCCTAAACTGCGTTACCTTCATTCTGAAATAGCTGCCTTACAAACGGATGGTAATACCCGATTTATTTATTCTTTATCCTTCCACCTAGCAAATGACACACATATGGGCTGTAATTACCTCCATCCTCACTGTGTGCTGATATTGGAACATTCTTTGTCTAACAATACAATTGAGGTCCTTGTTTCAAGCAGATTAAGAGAACTGTCTGGATTTTTAACCCCATTTTTTCTGGTCCTAATCTGTACATAAGTTTCAGTGACAGGTTTAAAGAGTTTCAGATCTCAGAGTTTCAGATCTCTAACAGACGAGGAAGCATTTACTCTTCTTCCTCACCAACCATTTAGCAAAAGCTAAAGACCATGCAGTTACAACCAGCAAAAGGAGTGGTCATTAGCTGCAAAAAATAGACTAGATTACCATTAGTCATAAATAAATAAACATTTTAAATAAAGAAACCTCAGCTTTATGAACAACGCTTTTAAATAGGTAACAGATCATAAACAATTTCTGCTCAAGTCTTGGGACTCAGCAGATCAAGTTAAAATTTTATCTCGTAATACCTAATAAAATGAAGAGCTGAGTCCCAAAATTAATTAGAAACCACTTAAGCTGTATTTTTTGTTAGGGTTATGCAAGTATTTTAACTCAGAATTTTTCTTATGTTTGTTATGACGAGTCATTTGCTGCTTTTGGGTTGTTGAGTGGTAACAGAAACCAAAGGCGAGATCAAATTTTGTCAGTGTAATACCCATATGGATAACACAAATCTGTTGAACACCTGTATTTGTGACACTTCTGTAAAGACAGAAACTGCAAGTAAGAGACAAATCTTGTACGTGGTTCTGACACCAATAATCAGTACACATTTGAAGAGAATTCCTTTAAAAAAAACCTAGCGGTGAAGTTTCCTTGCAGGCCAAAAAAACACAGTGAGGCAAAGAAATACCAGGAGCTCAACTTCTAAACAGTAAAACTTCCACGGTTGAAAACCAGCAGAATAACTCAGAACAAAAAAACAGGCAATCACCAAATATATTTGTCCTGATTTAAAGAAGAGCAGATAACACAATGATGATGCCATCTGACATTAAGATGATGGATGCAAACAGGAGCAGATGTTAAGTTTGTTCTTCAAATGTACAGGGAATAAAAAACACTTTATTTCACTTCATTTGAGACGTGAAAGCAAAAGCTGTTTCAGAACAAAACCCTATGGCAGAAATGTATGAATTTAGCTAAAAATTTCAGCCCAAGTAAGTGGTTTTGGAACAACGAAAAGCTGAGATCATTACAGGATTCACCTGGGAGGTGAAACAGTCTTAATCCTCTGCCCAGTCCAAATCAGAGCAAGGAGATTAACCTATCTCTAAGTGAATTTTTGTATTTTAATTCAGATCTACAATAAAAAACACACTTGATATAAAAATCTAAATGCGCTTTTCCCCAAATCTGCCGGAAAAGTTACAATATATAGATTGGAGTTTTTTTTTAAAAACCCTGTATTTTTATCACAGTAATATTCTTTCATCTATACCAGCCAACTACCTAATTTTACGATCCTTAAAACTGCTGAGGTTCAGCTTATTCCTGTCTGGCTTCTTTTTGTACACTGAAATAATTATTTTGGTTCTATTAACAAAAATGTTGAAAAGTATTATTTTCATGATTCTTTTAAAAGGCACGGACACGCAGCTACAAAGCTGTTGCTCTATAAATCATCTCATTCTTGTATTAAACAGTCAAGAAAAACTTCTCCAAATCAACTTTATGAATTGTTGGGAATTGCTGGAATGGGAACAGAAAGCAATGCAAGGGCTCAATCTCCCAAACCACCCCAGGAGGTGATCTTTAGGTTCTTTCCAAAAGCACTGCAGCATTGGAGGTGATTTGACTACTTCACGATTGAAAGGAGGACAGAGGGAACGATGCACATCTTGGCACGGACACCTCTGGGTTCAGCTATTATTGCTGCACCCGTCACCTCTGCCATTAACTCGGCCCTTTGACCAAAAAATATGTGTTGAAGCAAGTAAAATAACTTTTAAACAGAATCACAGAACGTTCGGGGTTGGAAGGGACCTCTGAAGATCATCTAGTCCAACCTTCATCCCAGCACACCTAACCACTACACCACAGCCTCAAGTGCTAGATCTACTTTTTTTTTAAACACCTCCAGGGTTGGTGACTCCACCACCTCCCTGGGCAGCCTGTTCCAGTGCCTCACCACTCGTTCAGGAAAGAACTTCCTCCGAATATCCAATCTAAACTTACCCTGACGCATTTCCCCTTGTCCTGTCATTAGGAATTAGAGAGAAGAGACCAGCACCAGCCTCACTACAGCCTCCTTTTAGCTAGTTGTAGTGCTGCCCTTCCTTAATGTCCACAGAAATTCTGAATTTAGGATCTTTAGAATACCCCCGCGAGCAACTTTTCAGCAAAAGTTCATCACGTTTGTATATTCTTAGTGTATCACAACTCTTGTCTGCCACCTCCTCGAACTCCTCTTACACTGAAAGACAAAACTGATTTAGTGTAATATTAACCTATGAATTTAAACACATGAAAGTCAAGAAGTTAAAAAGTCTCACACCTACTGTTCCACAAATGGCATTTATATATTATGATTACAGCCAAGTTTTCCGTATAAAATGACATATTTTCAATAGACAACAAACATTTTTATTCCCAGATTTTAAAGTCATTGTACTCTGTCAACAGCTTATTTTTTTATGTGATTGTCATTAAAATTAAACTGCAAACACTTTAAAATGCTACCACTAAAACAATTGTTCTGAAATTTATACCACTGAGGGAAACGAGAAGAGAGATATATGTTACATTCAATTCTTAACTGGACCAACAGTTGAGAATCAAGTCATTAATCAATTCATGCATCATGAATTCAGAAGAGTGTATTTATTTAGCAAATGGAGAGTACTACAGTACATGATTTCACAAAATGAATTTTTATACCAGATAGCAGCAAAATTAAAACAAAAAACGTTTCACTGTGCTGCAAAGCATATGGTGACCACGCTGTTGCTTTTAGCAGGAGAAATTTTATTCCCTGCCATCCACATCGCAGTAAAGTAAGGAACAAAGAGAGGGGATGGAAGAAAAACAGCTGGAAAAACGTCGAACTTCTCATTTAATTCACAGCGACT